AAACAATATTAACCTAACTCTAAAAGTACCGGCCTAGAATTTAAAATAAATTTCTTTTAATCCCGAAAATTTGTAGATTGTGAAATATATTCTAGTCTTGCCGAATTGTCATTAGTCCTTGTTATAAAACATGTAAGACATATTGTGACTAAATAGCTAGCGGAAGGTTGAAATTATAAGAATTACTAGACAGAAAGGAAATTTACTAGCCTAGGGTTTAAGTGAACCACCATCAATATCAAGCCCTGAAAGTATGTCAATTATGTATCTTTATTATAAAATTTATAAACAAGCAGGCCTGGGTCTGCATATTGAGCCTATAATCCAACCAATGATGAGAAACTTAATCCCAAACCTTAACAACTTGCTGAGGCTGCTATCACTGGCACTGGAAAAGTAAATGCCATGTTTTGCTTACCACAACATATGCTTCACAAAAATAATAACCTCTGAACTTTGAGTGTGAGTATAATTAATGGACTTGGACCAGAGGTTCCCCACGCCCATGTCAGGACATATATCTGGATTATGAGATTTCTAAGATCTTAAGGACATTCTAGAGAATCATGGAGGGTCATCTGGGTTATTTTTTGAGGCAAAAATATTGAAAAATAGGGAAATGGGTCCATGAGGCTCACAAAAAGTATATTTTAGGGCAATGGCAAAATAGGTTGGAAACATGAATGGCTTAGACAATTTAAAGTGAATTTGAAAGCTGGATCAGATATGATCTGTAAGTCATGTGACCATGTTAAAAAAAGTGCATGAAAGGGCATATTTGCCTGGACAACATAAACCAACTCAGAACAGAATCAGATCTGCTGTTGCAAAACAAAATGATCAAGGTCTATATATAAAAACCTAAAATCAATTACAGAACAGGTGTTCCAATCAAAATCTCTGGGAGACATAGTTCATGTAGCTCAGTTGCTTGCCTCAGATTTGTAATTCAAGGCTCACAGGTTTGATACCTGCCCAAGCCAGCCTAGATCAACTGTTTTGATGTGTCCTTTGCAAAGACGTTTAGTGTTATTTCCATTTTCTTTGTATGAAGCCCTGAAACTGCCATTAAATACCAACAAATGAGAAGACCCAACTCTGCAAACAGTTTAGGCATTAATAAAAATAATAATAATAATGAGGACTTTATATAGCGCCTAATCTTTAGTAGCTCTAAGCGCTTTACAACATTTGACAATGCTTAAAAAAGAATATAAAAAACAAACCATATATGATGAAATGATTATAAAATTTAAAAACAAACACCACAAAACTTGGAAACAGAAAACGTGCTGTAAATTTTTTAAGGTAAGGATACGTTAAAAAGGATACATTGTTAGGTTATTATGACTGCTTTTGCAGTTGAAATAGATGGGTTTTAAAGGTGCTCTCGAATGAGATCACTGTGTCTTTGTGTCTAAGAGCAGTGGGCTATTCATTCCATGTTGCTGGGCCCTGGTATGCAAAAGAATGTTGTCCATATGATCTCAACTTCATAGTGGAAATATTGAGAATGCTAGAGGAGGAGAGAGAGGAGAAGAGGATCGTAAGCATCTTGCAGGTGTATACACATGGGTGATGTCAGATAGGTACATTGGACTGGAGCCCATCAGTGAAATGTAGCACAAAGAACAAATTTTGTGTTTAATTCTGGATGGTATGGGTAGCCAGTGTAGGGTACGGAGCAGCGGAGGCATGCTCTGATCGTGGTAATCTAAGGATGATCCAAGCGGCAGTGTTTTGAACTGTTTCAAGTTTCTGAAGTAGATATTGAGATGAACCAGACAGAATTGAAATAACAATAGTCCAGTCTTGAAAGTACTAAGAAACACACAAGTGTTTTTGTGGTATCAACTGACAGTTATTTGCCAATAGAGATGATGTTTCAGCTCAAGATATGCAGCCCAGCATATGTTCCTGACATGTTGATGCAATGAGAGAGTACTGTCAAGAGTGACACCAAAGGAGGTTAGGTTTCATAATGACTGCATATGTATACTGACTGCATATTTTAATAGCAGACCTGGGTATAAAATGTTTGTACCTTGGAAACTGTTTAGGTGGACATAGCAAAAGAGCTACAAATAAGGTATGTAAGGGCCTGGCATTATAACCCAGTGTCATTCTAATGGTATCAGGTTGTGGATTTTGGGAATCACATAATTTCAAAAAATGTAATGTCTGAAAACATCAGCATCACAAACCCAAGGGTGCACTGTAAAATCCTAACATTCCTATTATTTCTGATTCAAAACAGTTACCATATATAATCACATATAAGATGATGCAAACTGCAAACAACCAAGATCAAGATATGCCTTGCATAATACACCTGCAGATAAGACTCTACATTGTTTGTTCTACTAATTACTCTTAACAAATTAAAAAGACATATCTGCCAGCACATTATGCAATGGCAGATCTGAGTCTGTGCAGTTTGCAGATGGACATTAAGGGAGTATACATATGATAGATCTTTCTTTTGTTATACTGTTTTAAGATATCATGCTCTTTCCACTGCTACTAAACAATGCATTTTATTAAACAATATGAAAACTGCAAAATGTCAGCTGAGATTGGTTTACACAGTAAAGTTAAGTAAACATTTAATTGATTAAAATGTTTAGATTGACAGCAAACTAAGTAAACAGAATGGCCTGTAAACAAATAATGAAAAGTGACTGATCAATCAAACCTTTTAAATGTAATTTATTTGGGAACTCAATTGCACTTAATTTTATTTCAAGTCTGAATTTGAGCTGCTAACTTTAACTCTAGTTATGATATTCCATCCAAAATTATATAGGGGCACATGCTTTCTCCAGGATATTCATAGGAATTACCCATCTGGCATTTTAATTGAGATAGACTTTAAATTATTATGGGTATCAATTTTTAATTTAGATTATTATTATTGAACTTATTCAGGTGTGTAATAACTAACTTTTAAAGGTAAAACATAAATTTATAGAACTTTGCATACATGTGATTCTACCATCGGAAGGACAAATATACCATTTTTAAAGGCTATCTACTTCACATACTGTTTTAAAACTGAAATCCACCACTTTTGAAAATCAAAAGATATATTTGAAAAAAAATGAGAAAAAAGATGAAAAGAGTACCTGTAGGTGTTCTATTTTCACATTACAGCATGCTGAGTATGTGGATTAAGACTGTTAATTAAACAATGGAAAATGTGTGTAAACAATAAGATGCAACTTGATTACCCTACTGTTGTTATTTTTAGTATTTAAAGGCACAATGTTTTTGAAGTGTTACCACCAATAGAGTGTCAAAGATGGTAGATAATGGCATCTTAGTCTTTGATTAAAAATCATCCAAACTTTGGTGGAGGTAAGATGAAAAGCTGACTCACCAAAACATTATTTTTAAAAGAAAAAATTTAGCAAATATTTTGATTGTTTTAAAAAAAAATAATTAGATCAGCTGTTATCATTTTTTGGTCAATTTATGTTAAAAATCAAAATAGATGTTTTCTCCAAATGTTTATAAAACACCTACGGGTATTAAGAAATTTTACAAGCAGTTTCACAATGCTTGGAAGTCATGCATGTACAGGCACATAGTAAACCAGTAGGTCCTGAGTTTGTTTCATACAAAGTGGATTTCTAATACAGTATACTGAAGACACTATACAAGCAGGCACATGCAGATACCATTGCAACAGCACAATTATTCTTCTGCTGCACACCTGAAGGCCCTTTCTGAGACTGGATCAAAGTGGATAAAGTGGCACTAGCATAGACTTTGCACATTTTGTGACACAGCATAATTAACCATGCATTACTGTATATCATTGCTGTATAATAAATAGATTAAAATTATTTCCAGACATACTAAATAGATCAAATTTATATCTTGTATTCTCAAAACTTTTGAAGCAAGTAAATCAAGGTTAAGTTAAAATTCCAAATATGTTTAGTATTTAACCTTAATCACAAAAAAACTTAAGTAAAAAATATTCCAGACATGTCTTAACACGGATCCCTCTACTGTACTGCCTAATTTACATAATGTTGGTGCACTATAGTATCATACCTGATTTGGATGGTCTGAATGAAGTTTTGTGCTTAAAAAGTTATGAGAATATAGAGCAGGTCAAAAATTAAAAGAATGTGTCATATGTTCAGTGCTGGTTGCATATTTCTAAAGCAAGCCAAACTTTATAAATCTTCAAACCCGGTTTGGTAAGGTCTACTGCACCAAGGTTTCATAATGGATAGACGTGAAACATGCATATACAAGATAAGGATAGTAGTCATTCTTATACAAATGCAACACCACCAAAACCTGAATTTGGTCTTATAGTTTGATGAAAAACTATAAGTTCAGTTTCTAAAACTTTAAATTTAGGATTTATATTAAATCTATTTATTATGATGTACAAAATTAAATTTCCAATTTGAACTAAAGAAAGAAATTTCAAATTTAACAACAATATATTTATCATGAATATGAGTAATTGGTCAAGTCGTTGAATCTTTCACACTAACTTTCACTCACTTTTACTTTGTGTATTATGTGATGGATAGAGATACAGCAGGTTTTAACTAAGAGAGGCAAACTGATTAGGTAATATACAGATGACACCAAGTCTGACAAGAGTTTGGTCCCTTATACATGTATATTTGTTGCTTTATTTTTGGATTTATTCTGTATATCCAATATAATTTAAATTGAAAATATTTTACTGTCATGTCTTTAGAATCCTTTTTTCAAAGAAAATAAAAGTTCTATGAGGTTAGAGTTTTCTGATACCAGTCTGTCAACAATATAAGAAAACTATGCAAAGCATAGTGTGTGTGATTTGGATCTTAAATGTAGCTTTAACAATTTTTTATTCATATTGCTATGATGTCTGTAGTTTATAGTGATATCCATTATCATGCCATATACACATTTTATGATGTCACACCAAGTCACATTATTCAAACACGCGAGGATGCTGTTAGTACCAATTTTTTAAGTCTTTGGTATGACTCAGACTGGGAAATGAACCCACAACCTCCCACATCCAAGGCAGAAGCTCTTACCACTAGGCCACTAGAGCAGTCTACAGTCTACAAATCATGGAATTATCCAAGTATTTTTAAAAGGAAGTATGTACGACTCTAGCATTTCCACTACCGAAATTAAACTATTTTTCCATTTATACTTGTACATGACGTGGCTGATAACTGTATTGGCTGTCAAACATTTTCTTGTAATGTATTAAGTCAGTAAAATAATGAGGTTCTTTTAAAGAGATTTATACAAACTACTGATAACTTGGAAACTTTGTTTTCTTCTTGTGATATATATGTAACTACATGTAATAGCTATGTAATGACAAATCACCTATTTATTTTCTTTACACAATGTTTGCAAATATTTACAAAGGATACATTAGTCTAAAAATAATAATCCCACCCTCTAATTTCGGACAGATTTATTAGATTGACCACCAGGCCTTACCATGCAATGTCTGGTACACTATAGTAACTACAATAATGTTTGATATGCTATAGTAACTATAGTAATGTTTGATACACTTTTGTAACTAATGTTTGATATGCTATAGTAACAATAGTAATGTCAGATATACTTCAGTAACAACAGTAACATAAAATACAATTCAGTAACTACAGTAATGTATGATACACTGCAGTAACTACAGTAATGTTTGATATGTTATAGTAACTACAGTAATGTTTGATATGATATAGTGATGTGATGTGATTATGATTTTCACCTACCTTTAATAATTTTTCAGTCATATCACTATGATAGCTGCAGTGTGGCAGTTTATAGTGATGTCCAGCACTGGGGCATCATGCCACAGACATGTAGCATGATGTCCCACCCAGTCACATTATCCTGACACCAGGCCAACCAGTCCTAACACTAACCTCCTAATGCTGAGCATCAAGCTAGGCAGCTATTAGTACCATTTTTGTAAGTCTTTGGTATGACTCAACCAGAGATCAAACCCACAACCTCCCGCATCAGAGGCTGATGTTTTAACCACTAGGCCACGGAGCAGTCGATATGATATAGTAACAACAGTAATGTTTGATATGACATAGTAACAATGTCTGATATGATTTAATTCCTCTACAGTTATGTTTGATACATTTTAATAAATACAGTAACCTTTAATATATTATAGCAACTACAGTAATGTTTGATATGATATAGTAACTACAATAATATTGATATGCTATATTACTGCTAAGTACAATAATGTTTGATATACAAAAGTAACTACAATAATGTTTGATATACTATAGTAACTACAATAATGTTTGATATGCTTTAATTACTCTACTGTAATATATGATAGAAACTAAATACAGTAATGTTTGACATGATGTAGTAAATTCAGTAATGTTTAATATGATATAGTTCTTTGACATGATATAGTAAATACAGTAATGTTTGATATGATAAGAGTAAATACAGTAATGTTTGATATGACAAGAGTAAATACAGTAATGTTTAATATGATATAGTTACTTTGACATGATATAAAGTAACATTTGATATGATAAGAGTAAATACAGTAATGTCCAATAAGCTTTAGCCTGAGAAAAATTCAATATTTTCAAACAAATTTAAGCACTTGTAAAATAAAAACTTCATGAGAAGATAACCCCTCAAATTGAAGGATTTTTCTAGTAGGCACTATAAAATTATTTTGTCTGCTAACATGGTACCTAACAATATCATTGTCCATGTATCCATCATTGAAAAGAAAGAATCCACTACAATGTTTTCTTCAATGAGTCATACCAAATCTTCAGATTTTGCATCAAAGACATAAAAGCAAAGATCAGAGTACATGTATATCAAATTGCTGGGTGGAGTGGGGGTTGGGTGGGGTAACCCACTTCGAAGAATATGTAGTGTGATGTTTTTCAACTTTGACCTCCAACCACTATTATTTTGAATCCACCTTTTTTATGTGATATGTAGGTCAGAATAGTAGTACTCAGGTTTCATGTTCCATATATTTCTGTATTGGAAAAAAAATGTCATTTTCCCCTTAACCACAATGATTTGCTACCTAAATAAAAATAATAAACTCAAAACAAGTAACTTAACTGGTTTGTCCATCATACACTTAGATGAAATCCAACACACTATAACTCATCTTACACAACTGGGGTAGAACAGGCTGTCAAGTGGGGGGGACTACAGTCAGTAACTCATATCAAACTAACAATTCAAGGGTCAAGAATTCAAAACACCCATTTCATCATTATCATATTTCCAATAATTTCTTGAAAGTGACATTCAAAAAACCAACCAACTACAATTAGCTTAAAATAACATGAGGTTATAAATCCACTTCCCAGTTTAACTCCTATCTGCCTTTAGTAATCAAATTGAGCATTCTATTCAAGTGGGGATGTCAAGGAAATGTTGAAAGGCACAATGCAAAATAATACTTGTGCAAGTGTAATAGAATAATCAATGAAGATTACATGCAGGACAACTGTACTTGGTCTCGGAATCTATTCTCAGAATTAGTAAGAACAGATCATAAAAAAAACAAGACCTTCTTTTATTGATACCACATTTAATTATGGTAAAACTTTAACATTGAGCTCAATCTTAAAATCCATTAATTTTAATCTGGTGTGTAGACAGAATACACAGATGCAAAAGTGATCACTATGCTGTGCATCTGCTAAGGTAAGCTTGATATCAACAGTCCCTCAAAGGAACTGACTCTATTGGCTGAAAGAATTTCCACAAATTTAAGTTAAAACAATATCTTATTAAATGCAGAGTGCTTAAACCATCTCTATTATTCTTCAGCTATATCAAAATTTGTAAATTAGCTGATGTGGTGGAGATGTTGAATGTCTGACTGGCACCATTCTCATCTTGCAGCAAGAAGACATCATAAGAAGTATTCTAGTACAACTTTATGATGATATAGCCATTCATACAAGAGAAAAATCAATAGCAAGATTCTCAAAATGGCTGCTATAAAGGCCATATTAAAAAAGTGAGCAAGACCATTTTCATCTCAGACCAACTAGACATCATGAGTCTTCCAGTGAAAATATCTTGCAAGAATAGCAAAAACTAGATTTTAAAGATGAACCTGGTGACAGGCACACTCAACATCAAATCGTACAATTTTCGTTTTGATCCAACATTGTAAGAAGTCTTTTAATGTCAACCACATGTTGACACATGACCATCCATATAGAAAGAAAGGTGATAACGGATTTTCAATATGGCCACTGTTGGTGCCATACTGAATGTACAAGTGGCACAATATTTATTTAAATTAACTAAATATCATACTAAGTCGTTTGGTAAACATGTATATTGGAAGCAACGATTTTCATGATGGCTGCTGTGGTTGTTACAATGGACATAAATCAGCAATGCTTTCATTAAGGTGCAATTGGAAATTGTATAAATCAAGAAGTTTTTCATTAAAAATCCTATGCTGATATGTCCATCATTTCAAGAAGAGTATGCATAAGAACTTTTTCTAAATAGCCACTATGGTGGAAATACAAGATGGCAGATCATCACCATTTTCATTTAAAAGCCAACATCATCAGAAGCCTTCAAGTGAAAACCTCATGTTGATATGACTTTCAAGAGGAGTAGCAATAACTAAGATTTTCAAGATGATTTCTAATTATTTCTAACAAACTACATAGTTCTAGATCTTCTAGTGCATTATGCTGTGGTAAATCTGTCTGTGCTGTTAGCAATTGAAATGAACTTGTAAGCAAGTATATATAAGGCTACCCAGCATGACAGGAAGGATCAATATTCCACAACACATTAGTGCCAATAATAATAAGACCCCACCTCATGAATTTGCAAGGCAAATCATCAACCCCTGTATACCAATTATGCTTCCATTACAATTGATAAATGTTCTTGTACCATATGTACTTGTTTAACAGTCAAGTCTAAATGCAAACTGCACATACCCAGATCTGCCATCACCTGGGTCTGAGCAGTTATGAATAATTAGAAGAACAAACAACACAGACCCTGATCTACAGGCACATTATGCTATGGCAAGTCAGAATCTTTGCTGTTTGCAGCTTGACTTGACTTACAAGTGAGTATATATTATATGTTTATGTATTTTTTTTTACTCTTGTGCCAAATATCATGTGCAAAATTCATTAAATATCACAACCTATGCAAAACAATAATGAAATGTACAGTGCTAAAAGCCTTTTTGAACTAAAAGAAAGGAAGCAAGGTTGTCCCTGGCTAAAAATAGTCAACAACTGGGAGAAAAGAAAATACAAGACTATTAAAGAATCCTTGCTATTAAAGAATCCTTGTCACCATACATGTGACTATGAATCTTAAAATGTTTCATGCCTAATGAATGCAAACAATTATTTATCATTTTATACATGAATGTATCACACAAAGAACCACCTAAACACTATACATGAAACTATTTCTTACCTTATATTATTTGTACACATAAATAAAATCAACAAAAAGAGGGATAATGACCACTGACTCTTTGAGAAAAAAAAAAAGAAACAAAATCTCTAAATGGAAAAGCAATGTCTATTACATAGTGCTGATATCATACTGAATTAAGATACTGTAAATGGTTCTGAAATGAGCATTACTTCTTAAAATTTTTTTTTAAAAAATGTACTTGTTAATAATATCCACATTTATATTTCTAAGTCACCTAATCTCTTTTTACCTTTATAAATGTCCTTCTTCTAAGCAATAATTCTGAAACTCTGACTTTATTATAGATGATTTAACTCTCCAGGCATCAAGTCCTGATCTTATTGTTATCCAGTACTCTAGCAGAGCACTCAGACATAAAGTCCTGATATTATTGTTATCCAGTACTCTAACAGAGTACTCAGACATAAAGTCAGGACATTATTGTTAGCCAGTACTCTTGCAGGGCCCACAGGCATAAAGTCCTGATATTATCCTGTACTCTTGTAGAGTACTCAGGCAGATTAGAAAGCTGAAAATTGGGACTTGCAAAGATGCATAAAATACTGATGAACTATTATAATGGGGCAAATTTTCCTGTTGATCTCTG